CACCAAGCCGAATCGCGCCCGTAGAAGTTCTACGACAGTTCCGTTATTTTTGGATCTTTCTAACTTGATCTGATCGAATGTGTGCGTGTTTTCTACGGCCGCTGAACCTATGTAGATCTTAGTGGCTCATCGCGGATGGAAAATGTGATTTATGGCCTTGGTGGCTTACCGATAACGGTTTTATCTTCGTCCATGGACTGGTTCCAGTTTCAGTAGTCGCCTCTAATGCAATTCGACTTTTCCTGCTTAAATACCATCGGATTAAGACAGAAGCTCCAACGCCCAATTGTAACGAGAGAAAACCTTCGTTTGACAGTTTTAAGTGGTTCTTCTTTTTCTTCAGTGGTTGAAGAGCTCTTGCAGACAGCACAGAAAGGAATGGAGTAAACGTTTTTCTATTAGGTGCAGTCTCTACGCAATACAAAAAGGCTCCATATTTGAATAGCTTGTGCTACACCGCAAACATTACTTTTACCACAAATGAACTTTGTAAACAGGTAACCCCGAGGAAGTCCGAAAGGAGTTCAGACTATCGTATTCTCAGCATGCTGCTGTCCTATTGGAAACAACTTTCATCACTACAAGCACGCCCATTCCCCACAGAATCCGCTGTCAAGCGGAGTGTGGTGAAGTGGGAGACCAAACGTCTAATTATCTACAAGAAACAGTAAACTTGCCGCGACGCTGGTTGTGCGGGGGGGGGGAAGGTAGGCCTATTCTCATAGCACACTTCATCGGTCAAAAAATGTCGTTAGGCCAAATACTATCATATCATTTCGTTCACAGCTGACTACGACTCCTCTCCTCGGTGCTGAGGAACGTCATCGCACTGTGTGCCTTGAATCGCGGCCGTGTTGCCTTGAATTCGCGTAGACTTGAAAGTAGGAAATCAGGTTGAAAATGACTGGAAGAATACCGGCGAATTTGAGAACAAGACTGAAAAAATCCTATTTATCACACCACCGCTGCAAACTACCGCTGGAATGTTCTTTGTCGGAGGGACTTATAAATATATCCGGCTTGGTATAATGGCAAGGTGATGGGCTCACTATGCATGCTGTCAGATAATCAGGTCTCGGATCGGCCCCCGCTCAGGTGAATCGAGCCTTCCCCGGGGAGGGCCACCTGACGTACATTCGTTTGCGGGACCCGTAAACGTTAACTTCTTCTTGGCTGGCAGCTCGTAAGCGATTTATATTTAAATCACAGTCCGCACTGGCAAAACACTGTGATTCTGAATATGCATCCCACAAAAGGACTGATCCCAGTGTTACCCCAAGAATGCTGAATTATGACTAGAAACCGGTGCCTCAGCATTAGAACTCGTACCTGACGTTTTCCGGGTGTGTGCGTACTCATTACAAAACCGAAGAGGAAATCCTTTCAGTTGTTATGCCTTATCGGCGCACTTTGGTGACGGTCGGGGCGGGGGGCATTTTGGCACTTTTATTGCCTCACTAGTTCCGGGTCTCATTCTGGTGAAACTTGTTGACTCATGTGAAGCTGGAGCAAGCCCGTCTAGCCACCATCCTAAAACGTGTCAACTCGAGAAAAGACTATCTAGATGGGTCAACACATCGATGAAAAGCAAAATGCCCCCGTCGCCAAACTGCGCCTGCCTTCCCACTTTCTCCCCTTGCCATGCCTTTGTATCACGACAATGCTCTCTAGGAGAGTTTCTCCATCACTCTGCCGTCGGTGACTTCGTCCGAGCAATCGGTTCGGAAGAAAGCGAGAGATCGATCATATCCTCGCAGATCTAGCACTTTTCACATAACATTTTATCAAAAGTCTGTCCTTTATTGTAACACTAAAATCAATCTGTTCTGTCACATAGTGCTAGTGGTATAAGGGTTCAAAAAGAATGTTCCAGATGTTCAACAAATGTCTCACAATATTTTACTACTAATTACTACACAGATGTGCCCTCAGAGCCGTTTTTTTACGGTGACAAAGGTTCTGGCCCTAGAATTAATTATTCTTTTTCTAGGCTTCTTTGTCCACTGTATTGGAGTGCGCTTCCAAATGGGTAAGAGCTACGCGCGTCAGGGACTAGAGCAGTGGGGTTTCTGTCAAATGCAGCGCGGGGGTTGCCTCCATGAATTACAAAAAAAGATCAAAAACAGTCATAACCAGACCACCCATCGGAAGGGGAGTATGATTAGAAGGTAAATAAACGAAAATCTCAAATTTTTCTCCTGAGTCACCCTTTCTCATTAGTCAAGAGTTCTCTCCACAACCCATAAACCAGTCCTTTTCCCCCTCCCTCGCAGCCACATACAACCCCTCTCCTTTCCACCGCTGTGGAATCTTTGGCATACGGCGTATCCTATAAGTGGCAGTCTGCGCACAATATGTAGTGGCACAGTGGCTAGACGCGGTGCATTACCCTCGTGGACCAGATCTAGTCCAAACTAACCAAGCCTCCCCATTCTACCCAGACTGACACCACCCAAAAACCTTGGCCGAATGATCCACCGGTTACTGCATCGACTAGGAAGGTTTTTAAGGTTTTTCGAGTGCACGTCAAATGCATGGGTTTACCTGGTAAGATCAGAACGGCTCAACCCTTCCTCCTGCTTTCCACCCTCTTTATAAAGGAAGACCTACCTGATCAAGACTGACTCATAGCAATGGGTAGGGAGGCTCGTATTGCTAGAAGAATCGGTCCCAAGTCTTGTTATAATGCAAGATGCTGGGAAAAGCACAGGCTTGTCTTGGTTCTGGTCCCCTCTCCCCTATGGCTGGCGTGTACTCACATAGGGCCTGCTGTGATAAAAATCATTCTTAGGATCTCGTGAAAGAGCGCATTTTCGGAATTCTTCTTAGAAAAAATAAAACAATAAAGTGATAAATAATAAAGGAAAGGAGAGAAAACCTATATTTTCAGCGAGCCAGTGACCTGTCGTCGCTCTCCAGTGCCGATCCGAACAGCTCGATCTCAGATTCCAGTGAAGAAGCCAAGTGAGTCTTTGCTTTTTTTTATTCTTACCCCTCCTTAATTTTCAAACATTTCGAGTTTCTTAACAGGCTCCAACCACCTGCCATCGTCCGTCACCCCCGGCAGCCGTACCTCACCAGGTTGGCTCGTGAGGCTCCTGTCAGCACCAGCGTACTGCAGACGGTCTTCGATAACATCGAGAGGCCCGAGCTGAAACGCTTCGGAGAGGTAGGAGTACATTCGTCGTGAAGGTTTGAGAGGCAAGGAAAGATGAATCCTATGAAACAAAGTCGAAGGGATGCGCCACGTCCTCGACTTCCTCTACGTCATAGAAAACGTTTGCGCAATGCATCTGCATCATGCTTTTTTGAACCAGGCCAGCGAGTTTCTTGAAAGATCAGAATAGTCATACGCTCTTAGGGGCTATATGACTGACTATACAAATGGGAGACAGTGCTGCTCTGCACTATGATTACTGTAAAAATCAGTCTCAATCGCGCTAAATGATTAAGCCTAGGGGCTCTATTGAGCCCCTATTTACACAGAATAATCCGTATCCACTCCCTCTACTGTCGTTATCACGGTATTCAGTTGAGGGAGTGGATTTTGGTGCGGCGCCAGGGCCATAGTCCATTGACCGGTCGTGCTTTGCCATTAAATGATTGGTCTGGCGCTAAGATGCAGCGGCCCACTGATACGCTCCAACTGACTTTGGTGATGACTACTATAACTGTACCGCTCTAAAGAAAAAGTAGAGTTAAACGTGAAAGAGTGCTCAAGCACCTGAAGCTAGCAAGATTGGCAAGATAGCGCTATTCTTGGGTATTTCTGGGCAGATTATCTGAGGAGTTCACGACCAAGGCACTCGCTCACCAAGCCTTGAGCTCCCCTCTCCTTCCAGGTTTGCACAAATATCTCCATTCCTGAGGTAAAGCGGCCCTTGCTGTACCACAACACTCAAAACCTCTTGAGGGGATGAAGAGATGGTCAAAAGAGGATGAGATACGCATTCAAACGCATCTGCAATGCTGGATGGAAAGAGTGTGCATGGCGCATTTAAAAGAAACTGTTTAACAGCGGCTATTTAGCCTTCACCTCAAACCATGCAGTAGGAATCTTATTTTGAGCTTCGTGTGGAAATCCCGGAGTGTTTCAGAACAACAATGGAAAAGAGTGGATGACGGTACCGGTGTCGGTGGAAGAAGATATGCGTCGAAACGATTCAACTGGATGGAATCTTATCCCTACCACTGTAACCACGCCAAAACCGAGGCTTCCTGTGTAAGATTTTGAAGTTTTTTTTTCTTTTTTTCATTTTTTCCTGGACTTTCAAGACCTGTTCTGTTAAAAATACTGTTCAATGATCTTAATTGAATGCGATAGCGACCGTGTTTTGTGAGATGTTTCTATAGGAGTGAGACACGTTCTGATGGGCCGTAACGTTGTGACCTTGGCCAACTCCGATCGGATGGCTGGCGCATTGGAATGATCTGATTTGCTTAAGTGCTCGCGCAGGATTGCGCATTTCGTTGGTGCGTGTGCGTGTCACAGTCGAATTCCACCCGAAAAAAGTCTGAGTGCGAAATTCGCCCAATTCCAGAGTGGAGAATGGATCGAAGGCGATGTTGAGCGGTAGACATATCATACCACATAGAATAGTTAGCAATATTCAAGTAAAAGGACAAAATTTTCGCCGTTGATCAATCCTCTAACCATCATTCTTACTATCCATTCTCACCTTCCCAGACGAATCTGGTCCCAAAACACCGTCCATGGAAGGTAGAAGGCTTATTTGGCCTGGGCAGGGAGCCGATCCAGGATTTGATTCCCGAACCGCTCACGTGCTAATATCGCTAATCAACAAGTGGCGAAGGTAGTGTAGTGGTAATAGGGTACAACATCGTTGTGTGAAAACGCAATGGGGGGGGGGAGGGGGGGGGCGGATGTTGGCTGGCGAATGGGAAATTGTTCTGAAGTTTCCCGCGTTGGTTTCGCGGTTTTTCCCGGCTTGTCACATTTCGCGTATTATTCCCCCGCCTCCGGCTCGACGGAAAATTCTTTGGGACGGGCGCGAAAACTGAAAAATTTCGAAAGTACTGGGGGAACTGGAAGGGAGGCTGGGAACGTGTGGGGAAAAAATGACCCTCTTTTAGGTGAGAGGGGGGGGGGGGGTAGTACTGACACCACCATTACACACAACACGATGCTGTACCTGATGGTGAGTGTTAAGCATGCCACTTGCCACTACACCGCCTTCGCCTTTTGATGAATTAGCGATATTTTCAATGTCAGTGATAGTGAGGCGGAGGTGTTGTATGGCACGCTTACTGTTCGCGCGGTCGTGCGAACGAATCCCGGGTGAACTTCCGCTCACCAAGCCTTCTATCCCCGGGGACGGTAAATTGGTACCAGATTCGTCTGGGAGGATAAAACACTGACTTGTACATCGGCTGGCCACCGCAAGTCATTGTATAGGCCACATCGCATTCAATAAGCCACTACGATTCTGAATGGAAGTAGAATGCGTGCCGCATCCCACAAAGGAATTGATCGACGGGAAAACTTTATCCTTCTATAAGTGATAGTGAATAATAGCAAAGGGTAGCCTGTGATATTCTGTGGATCGTAAAAGTTAACGAAACATTGAGCCTGCGCGGTAGTTTTAGGTATTACCGCAATTTAGTGCATTGATGGGGTGGAGAAAAGTGGCCCAGAACCTATAAACCTGGGTTTGAGATCCGGATCGCTTTCTGCTTGGGCTAAAAAGCCTTCCATCCTCAGTCGTTTGACCCCAAGCTTCCACTCCTTGGACAGCACATGTACGTGGGTCACCTGGGCGTTACTGTTCGAAACCACAGCTTTGGCGCTGCGAGGGAGGGCGTTTTGCAATTTTGGTAGTTTCCTTCGCTAATCTTGTTCAATTACATGTATCACCTTGGTGAGACTTGTAGACACTTGTTAAATGTGAACGAATATCTTTCTATTGAACAGCTTCACAAGAGTTCACGGATCTCCCCAAGAGACGCCAGCATTTATCGATGGGAATCA